CATTTAAGGAGAGGGAAAAAAAGGAGAAAGTCGGTCGTCAGCTGCTGAGGCAGGGCCAGCAGAGCTCTTCTTCAGTGTCAGAGGCTTTGTGTGAGGGTAAACAACAGCAGCAGAAGGAGCAGCAGCAGCAGCAGCAGCAGAGATCCCTGAGGTTTCTCACTTTTCTCCCTCTGGGTTCTACAGTAGTTCCTCTGAAGCAGCAGGGTCTGAGGACTCTCCACATTCACCACATTTCTAAACACTGGTCTCTGCTCCTCATGGACGACCCTCTGTGTGTGTTATTGTGTGTTATTGTGTGTTATTGTCTGTTATTGTCTGTTATTGTCTGTTATTGTGTGTTATTGTCTGTTATTGTGTGTTATTGTCTGTTATTGTGTGTTGGTGAATGGACTGTTGTGATTCAGGGCGATACAAACATGAGTTGAATTGAGCTGAAGTGCTGCACAGATGTGAGTCTACTGTAGAGAACAGACCAGAAGGACTTTTGAAAAACAAAAATACTCTACTTCAGATTTTCACAATATTGCTCCAGTTCTTCTTCCAGACCATGTTCCAGGATCCACATCAGACCACTAACCAGGAAGTGAGCAGTTGTGTATGGAATTGGACCAATCAGAGCGGGGGAGGACCTGACGATGACGCACTACAGGACAGAGACCTGCAGGGGGCAGCAGACGCCTCTTCAGTGACGCACTCAGGAGAGACAGAACCTCACAGAGACAGAACCCTCAGAGACAGAACCTCACAGAGACAGAACCCTCAGAGACAGAACCTCACAGAGACAGAACCTCACAGAGACAGAACCCTCAGAGACAGAACCTCACAGAGACAGAACCCTCAGAGACAGAACCTCACAGAGACAGAACCTCACAGAGACAGAACCCTCAGAGACAGAACCTCACAGAGACAGAACCCTCAGAGACAGAACCTCACAGAGACAGAACCCTCAGAGACAGAACCTCACAGAGACAGAACCTCACAGAGACAGAACCCTCAGAGACAGAACCCTCACAGAGACAGAACCCTCAGAGACAGAACCTTACAGAGACAGAACCCTCACAGAAACAGAACTTCTCACAGAGACAGAACCCTCAGAGACAGAACCCTCAGAGAAAGAACCTCACAGAGACAGAACCTCACAGAGACAACCTCACAGAGACAGAACCTCACAGAGACAGAACCTCACAGAGACAGAACCCTCAGAGAAAGAACCTCACAGAGACAGAACCCTCAGAGACAGAACCTTACAGAGACAACCTCACAGAGACAGAACCTCACAGAGACAGAACCTCACAGAGACAGAACCCTCAGAGACAGAACCTCACAGAGACAGAACCCTCACAGAGACAGAACCTCACAGAGACAGAACCTCACAGAGACAGAACCATCACAGAGACAGAACCTCACAGAGACAGAATCTCACAGAGACAGAACCATCACAGAGACAGAACCTCACAGAGACACAACCTCACAGAGACAGAACCATCACAGAGACAGAACCTCACAGAGACAGAACCTCACAGAGACAGAACCATCACAGAGACAGAACCTCACAGAGACAGAACCCTCACAGAGACAGAACCCTCACAGAGACAGAACCCTCAGAGACAGAACCTCACAGAGACAGAACCTCACAGAGACATGGACCTCACAGAGACATGGTCCTCACAGAGACACAGACCTCACAGAGACATGGTCCTCACAGAGACAGGGACCTCACAGAGACATGGTCCTCACAGAGACACAGACCTCACAGAGACACGGTCCTCACAGAGACACAGACCTCACAGAGACATGGTCCTCACAGAGACACAGACCTCACAGAGACATGGTCCTCACAGAGACACAGACCTCACAGAGACATGGACCTCACAGAGACACAGACCTCACAGAGACACGGCCCTCACAGAGACACGGTCCTCACAGAGACACGGACCTCACAGAGACACGGTCCTCACAGAGACACAGACCTCACAGAGACATGGTCCTCACAGAGACACGGTCCTCACAGAGACATGGTCCTCACAGAGACACGGACCTCACAGAGACACGGTCCTCACAGAGACATGGACCTCACAGAGACAGGGTCCTCACAGAGACATGGACCTCACAGATACAGGGTCCTCACAGAGACATGGACCTCACAGAGACAGAACCATCACAGAGACAGAACCTCACAGAGACAGAACCTCACAGAGACAGAACCATCACAGAGACAGAACCTCACAGAGACAGAACCCTCACAGAGACAGAACCCTCACAGAGACAGAACCCTCAGAGACAGAACCCTCACAGAGACAGAACCTCACAGAGACAGAACCATCACAGAGACAGAACCTTCACAGAGACAGAACCCTCACAGAGACAGAACCCTCACAGAGACAGAACCCTCACAGAGACAGAACCATCACAGAGACAGAACCTCACAGAGACAGAACCATCACAGAGACAGAACCTCACAGAGACAGAACCTCACAGAGACAGAACCATCACAGAGACAGAACCTCACAGAGACAGAACCTCACAGAGACAGAACCCTCACAGAGACAGAACCCTCACAGAGACAAAACCTCTCAGAGACAGAACCTCACAGAGACAGAACCATCACAGAGACAGAACCCTCACACAGAACCCTCACAGAGACAAAACCCTCAGAGACAAAACTCTCAGAGACAGAACCTCACAGAGACAGAACCTCACAGAGACAGAACCCTCAGAGACAGAACCTCACAGAGACAGAACCCTCAGAGACAGAACCCTCACACAGTGTTGTGCCAGTTCACAGCTTTTTTGAACTAGTTCAAGTTCAGTTCATAAATGCTCAAAGTGAACAGTTCACGTTCAAAGTTCACATTTTTAATTCTGAACTAGTTCAAAGTTCAGTTCATTTTACTTTTTTCGTGAGATACTTAAATAAATATTTTTTTCACACTACGAGCTATATTATATATATATATATATATATATATATATATATATATCTCCTGTACACCCACAGGAGGAGAGCCTTTTGACTACAAAACAGACCAGATTTACATGGTTTTCAATGGGAGCCAAACAGAGTTGCTCCATCTCTGCTCATAAACTACAGACAGTAATGCGCTGCAGAGCTGTATCTATACTTTATGTCAAATGTAAACGGTGTAAACTTTGTCGCTAACTCACCCTGTGTTTTCATCACGACTCGGGCACATGTGAAAAGCACCAGCTCACAGCGCCGCACCGCAACCAAGCCCCGGCGATCCAAGATGGCGCCGTATTCAAATGAATGGTTGTGCTCAGTGGCGCTTTGTGACGGCATGGGGGCTGAAAGATTAGCGGAAGTTGCCTGGAACTCGCAAAGAACTTTGGGAAACTCGCCTGTATTTGGGCATCGTCTGGTCCTCCCGGTTCTGTGCAGTGGATGATCTCCCATAATGCGTTGCGCCAAACAAGCGTGTGTGGGTCTCACACCGGGTCTCACGCACGTGCACAGAGGGGCTCGGCCGCGCTCCGACCAATCAGAGCAGTTCATCAGAGCGGGAGTTAGAGCAAGAGCCAGAGGAGCAGAGTTTGTGGCACTAAAGTGTGGATTTAAACAAAACCGAAGGATTTAAGAAGAAAAAAAGTTCAGGATGACAAGGGACACTAAAATCCCCACAAAATCTGACCTTTATGAAAGCTGTAGGTTCTCTGTCAGGTTCTCTGTCAGCTGAGGTCGTGCTGTTTTAGTTTACATTGAGTTCTATGGGGAAAGTTTCTGGGTAGCCCACGTGAATTTAGTCTGGTTCAGTCTGCAGTACCGCGAGAATCCCCCGAGCACATGAGTTATTCAGCTACAAGCTGTAATACCCTATCCAGTTATTATTATAGATCCATGACCGCAACACTGAGTCGGGGTGCGTTCACAGACGGTGGAAACCGTAGGAATTTTTAGATTTCGGCGGAAAAAGTGCGAGAATACAGGAGGGAGAAACTTTCTCTCGTTGCGTTTCAAAAGAGAAAACAGATTCCAACGTTCATAGTGATGTCTGCCGTTCATGACACATAAAATGAACTAATTCACGTTCAAGTTCTTTTTTGTGTTCAGTTCAACGTTCACGCAAAAATGAGCGTGTTCAATGAACGCGTTCTTTTGAACTCGTTCACGCACAACACTGCCCTCACAGAGACAGAACCCTCTGAGACAGAACCCTCTGAGACAGAACCCTCTGAGACAGAACCCTCTGAGACAGAACCCTCTGAGACAGAACCCTCTGAGACAGAACCCTCTGAGACAGAACTCACCTTTCCTTCTCTGTGGGTTTGAGATGATGACATTTATGTCACACAGAGATAGAGCCGTCCTGCTCTGTGGACACTTACACAGACACAGAGACACAGACACTGAAACACTGACACTGAGACACTGACACAGACACTGAGACACTGACACAGACACTGAGACACTGAGACACAGACACAGAGACACTGAGACACAGACACAGAGACACTGAGACAGACACTGACACAGACACAGACACTGAGACACAGACACAGAGACACTGAGACACTGACACTGACACTGAGACACAGACACTGACACACAGACACTGACACTGACACTGAGACACAGACACAGACACTGACACTGACACTGAGACACAGACACAGACACTGACACTGACACTGACACTGACACTGAGACACAGACCTGTGGGTGACGCTACAGACACACGACACAGACACAGACACTGAACTGGACCTGTGGGTGACGCTCACAGACACACTGACACTGACGCTCACACACAGACCTGACCTGGGGTGACGCTCACACAGACACAGACCTGTGGGTGACGCTCACAGACACACAGACACTGACAGACACTGACCTGTGGGTGACGCTCACAGACACTGACACTGACCTGTGGGTGACGCTCACAGACACTGACCTGTGGGTGACGCTCACAGACACAGACACTGACCTGTGGGTGACGCTCACAGACACACTGACCTGTGGGTGACGCTCACAGACACTGACACTGACCTGTGAGGTGACGCTCACAGACACTGAGACACTGACCTGTGGGTGACGCTCACAGACACAGACACTGACCTGTCACAGGGACACTGACGCGCTCACAGACACTGACCTGTGGGTGACGCTCACAGACACTGACACTGACCTGTGGGTGACGCTCACAGACACAGACACTGACCTGTGGGTGACGCTCACAGACACAGACACTGACCTGTGGGTGACGCTCACAGACACTGACCTGTGGGTGACGCTCACAGACACTGACCTGTGGGTGACGCTCACAGACACTGACACTGACCTGTGGGGTGACGCTCACAGACACAGACACTGACCTGTGGGTGACGCTCACAGACACGCTCACAGACACTGACCTGTGGGTGACGCTCACAGACACAGACACTGACCTGTGGGTGACGCTCACAGACACAGACACTGACCTGTGGGTGACGCTCACAGACACAACACAGACCTGTGGGTGACGCTCACAGACACAGACACTGACCTGTGGGTGACGCTCACAGACACAGACACTGACCTGTGGGTGACGCTCACAGACACAGACACTGACCTGTGGGTGACGCTCACAGACACTGACCTGTGGGTGACGCTCACAGACACTGACCTGTGGGTGACGCTCACAGACACAGACGCAGACACTGACCTGTGGGTGACGCTCACAGACACAGACACGCTGACACTGACCTGTGGGTGACGCTCACAGACACTGACCTGTGGGTGACGCTCACAGACACAGACACTGACCTGTGGGTGACGCTCACAGACACAGACACTGACCTGTGGGTGACGCTCACAGACACTGACCTGTGGGTGACGCTCACAGACACAGACACTGACCTGTGGGTGACGCTCACAGACACAGACACTGACCTGTGGGTGACGCTCACAGACACTGACACTGACCTGTGGGTGACGCTCACAGACACAGACACTGACCTGTGGGTGACGCTCACAGACACAGACACTGACCTGTGGGTGACGCTCACAGACACAGACCTGTGGGTGACGCTCACAGACACAGACAACTGACTGTGGGTGACGACACAGACACAGACACTGACCTGTGGGTGACGCTCACAGACACACACTGACCCTGTGGGTGACGCTCACAGACACTGACCTGTGGGGACACTGACCTGTGGGTGACGCTCACACAGACACTGACCTGTGGGTGACGCTCACTGACACTGACCTGTGGGTGACGCTCACAGACACAGACACTGACCTGTGGGTGACGCTCACAGACACTGACCTGTGGGTGACGCTCACAGACACAGACACTGACCTGTGGGTGACGCTCACAGACACAGACACTGACCTGTGGGTGACGCTCACAGACACAGACACAGACCTGTGGGTGACGCTCACAGACACAGACGGGTGACGCTCACAGACACAGACACAGACCTGTGGGTGACGCTCACAGACACAGACACTGACACTCACAGACACTGTGGGTGACGCTCACAGACACAGACACTGACCTGTGGGTGAGGCTCACAGACACTGACCTGTGGGTGACGCTCACAGACACTGACCTGTGGGTGAGGCTCACAGACACTGACCTGTGGGTGACGCTCACAGACACTGACCTGTGGGTGACGCTCACAGACACTGACCTGTGGGTGAGGCTCACAGACACTGACCTGTGGGTGACGCTCACAGACACAGACACTGACCTGTGGGTGACGCTCACAGACACTGACCTGTGGGTGACGCTCACAGACACTGACACTGACCTGTGGGTGACGCTCACAGACACTGACCTGTGGGTGACGCTCACAGACACTGACACTGACCTGTGGGTGACGCTCACAGACACAGACACAGACCTGTGGGTGACGCTCACAGACACTGACACTGACCTGTGGGTGACGCTCACAGACACAGACACTGACCCGTGGGTGACGCTCACAGACACTGACCTGTGGGTGACGCTCACAGACACTGACCTGTGGGTGACGCTCACAGACACAGACACTGACCTGTGGGTGACGCTCACAGACACAGACACTGACCTGTGGGTGACGCTCACAGACACTGACCTGTGGGTGACGCTCACAGACACTGACCTGTGGGTGACGCTCACAGACACAGACACTGACCTGTGGGTGACGCTCACAGACACAGACACAGACCTGTGGGTGAGGCTCACAGACACTGACCTGTGGGTGACGCTCACAGACACTGACCTGTGGGTGACGCTCACAGACACTGACACCTGTGGGTGACGCTCACAGACACTGACCTGTGGGTGACGCTCACAGACACAGACACTGACCTGTGGGTGACGCTCACAGACACAGACACTGACCTGTGGGTGACGCTCACAGACACAGACACTGACCTGTGGGTGACGCTCACAGACACTGACCTGTGGGTGACGCTCACAGACACTGACCTGTGGGTGACGCTCACAGACACTGACACTGACCTGTGGGTGACGCTCACAGACACTGACCTGTGGGTGACGCTCACAGACACAGACACTGACCTGTGGGTGACGCTCACAGACACAGACACTGACCTGTGGGTGACGCTCACAGACACAGACACTGACCTGTGGGTGACGCTCACAGACACTGACCTGTGGGTGACGCTCACAGACACTGACCTGTGGGTGACGCTCACAGACACAGACACTGACCTGTGGGTGACGCTCACAGACACTGACACTGACCTGTGGGTGACGCTCACAGACACAGACACTGACCTGTGGGTGACGCTCACAGACACAGACACTGACCTGTGGGTGACGCTCACAGACACTGACACTGACCTGTGGGTGACGCTCACAGACACTGACACTGACCTGTGGGTGACGCTCACAGACACAGACACTGACCTGTGGGTGACGCTCACAGACACAGACCTGTGGGTGACGCTCACAGACACTGACACTGACCTGTGGGTGACGCTCACAGACACTGACACTGACCTGTGGGTGACGCTCACAGACACTGACCTGTGGGTGACGCTCACAGACACAGACACTGACCTGTGGGTGACGCTCACAGACACTGACACAGACACAGACCTGTGGGTGACGCTCACAGACACTGACCTGTGGGTGACGCTCACAGACACTGACCTGTGGGTGACGCTCACAGACACAGACCTGTGGGTGACGCTCACAGACACAGACACTGACCTGTGGGTGACGCTCACAGACACTGACACAGACACAGACCTGTGGGTGACGCTCACAGACACAGACACAGACCTGTGGGTGACGCTCACAGACACTGACCTGTGGGTGACGCTCACAGACACTGACCTGTGGGTGACGCTCACAGACACTGACCTGTGGGTGACGCTCACAGACACAGACACTGACCTGTGGGTGACGCTCACAGACACAGACACTGACCTGTGGGTGACGCTCACAGACACAGACACTGACCTGTGGGTGACGCTCACAGACACAGACACTGACCTGTGGGTGACGCTCACAGACACAGACACTGACCTGTGGGTGACGCTCACAGACACTGACACTGACCTGTGGGTGACGCTCACAGACACTGACACTGACCTGTGGGTGACGCTCACAGACACAGACACTGACCTGTGGGTGACGCTCACAGACACTGACACTGACCTGTGGGTGACGCTCACAGACACTGACACTGACCTGTGGGTGACGCTCACAGACACAGACACTGACCTGTGGGTGACGCTCACAGACACAGACACTGACCTGTGGGTGACGCTCACAGACACTGACCTGTGGGTGACGCTCACAGACACAGACCTGTGGGTGACGCTCACAGACACTGACACTGACCTGTGGGTGACGCTCACAGACACTGACACTGACCTGTGGGTGACGCTCACAGACACAGACACTGACCTGTGGGTGACGCTCACAGACACTGACCTGTGGGTGACGCTCACAGACACAGACACTGACCTGTGGGTGACGCTCACAGACACAGACACTGACCTGTGGGTGACGCTCACAGACACAGACACTGACCTGTGGGTGACGCTCACAGACACAGACACTGACCTGTGGGTGACGCTCACAGACACAGACACAGACCTGTGGGTGACGCTCACAGACACTGACCTGTGGGTGACGCTCACAGACACTGACCTGTGGGTGACGCTCACAGACACTGACTTGTGGGTGACGCTCACAGACACTGACCTGTGGGTGACGCTCACAGACACAGACACTGACCTGTGGGTGACGCTCACAGACACAGACACTGACCTGTGGGTGACGCTCACAGACACAGACACTGACCTGTGGGTGACGCTCACAGACACAGACACTGACCTGTGGGTGACGCTCACAGACACAGACACTGACCTGTGGGTGACGCTCACAGACACTGACACTGACCTGTGGGTGACGCTCACAGACACTGACACTGACCTGTGGGTGACGCTCACAGACACAGACACTGACCTGTGGGTGACGCTCACAGACACTGACACTGACCTGTGGGTGACGCTCACAGACACAGACCTGTGGGTGACGCTCACAGACACTGACACTGACCTGTGGGTGACGCTCACAGACACTGACACTGACCTGTGGGTGACGCTCACAGACACAGACACTGACCTGTGGGTGACGCTCACAGACACAGACACTGACCTGTGGGTGACGCTCACAGACACAGACACTGACCTGTGGGTGACGCTCACAGACACAGACACTGACCTGTGGGTGACGCTCACAGACACCGACACTGACCTGTGGGTGACGCTCACAGACACTGACCTGTGGGTGACGCTCACAGACACGGACACTGACCTGTGGGTGACGCTCACAGACACTGACCTGTGGGTGACGCTCACAGACACAGACACTGACCTGTGGGTGACGCTCACAGACACTGACCTGTGGGTGACGCTCACAGACACTGACCTGTGGGTGACGCTCACAGACACAGACACAGACCACTGACCTGTGGGTGACGCTCACAGACACAGACACAGACACTGACCTGTGGGTGACGCTCACAGACACAGACACTGACCTGTGGGTGACGCTCACAGACACAGACACTGACCTGTGGGTGACGCTCACAGACACAGACACTGACCTGTGGGTGACGCTCACAGACACAGACACTGACCTGTGGGTGACGCTCACAGACACAGACACTGACCTGTGGGTGACGCTCACAGACACAGACACTGACACTGACCTGTGGGTGACGCTCACAGACACAGACACTGACCTGTGGGTGACGCTCACAGACACAGACACTGACCTGTGGGTGACGCTCACAGACACAGACACTGACCTGTGGGTGACGCTCACAGACACAGACACTGACCTGTGGGTGACGCTCACAGACACAGACACTGACCTGTGGGTCACGCTCACAGACACAGACACTGACCTGTGGGTGACGCTCACAGACACTGACCTGTGGGTGAGGCTCACAGACACTGCTTCAGCACAATCCTCTTTTGAATCTTGA